ACGTGCATGCGCAGGCATACGCAGGTGTGCGCACACAAACATTCATCATATACACGCACTCCAAGTCCATACGTGCATGCGCAGGTGTGGTGTCGCACAGTGAGATGGCGTCGACGGTCGTGGACTCTCTGTACATATCATTCTTTGGTAAATGAAACGAACAAGCGAGCAAGAACCGACCAACGGCGTGTCTTGACGTCTCAGATTTGATCCACACGGTGGCGTATGACGCCTTTCTGCAGACGAGGCGCCGCACGGGCGACGGCGGCCTCGATGGCGAGCTGGTGGTCGGCCTGCCGCCGTCCGTCATCATGGAAGACGTATTCCCCGACTTCCATGGCTTCCAGGTCAGTCACATATCAAAGAACCACCAGAGCAACCAAAAACGGTCTCCTGGGTTGATGCAGCGGTCCATGCGTGCCACGTTCTTCAGCCAGTCCTTCCAGAGCCAGCTGTACCGTGCACGTGAGGCCTACGAAGCGTCCGACTGGGCCCTCGCCACAACGGCCAAGCTGTGGCTGCCCCTCCCCCCTCACCTCAGCCGCACCCCAATGCCACGATCGGTCATCGACCTGGCCCTCACACACTTCCAGCTGGGCCACGCGCCACACCCCCATGTCAGCACGCGAGGGCTCGCTGACGGCGAGGGAGACAAAGGGCCGGGGTACCGGTTGGTGACGCACACGCGGCCGTTTCTGCCGTTCTTTCGGTCGCCTGCGTACAAGACGGAGCACTACAGCAGCTGGGTGCCGGGCGCCCTGGGCGGGGTGAGGGGTTTCCGTACTGTGCGCGTCACGCAGAAGGCCTCGGCGCGCGACGAAGATGGCGGCACTTTCCGAGTACAGGTGAATGAATCCCACACACACTGATGTTGCCCGCGTTGTCTCATGTGTGTGTCATGTTGTGCGTGTTTTGTCGGATTCGTTCCTGTGTGCCACTTAGGACCTCCTGCCGCACCTCTCAGTCACCATTTGCCGAGTCGGCTACCAGAGAGAACGGGTCGTCGATGCGAGTGAGGTGGCATGCTGCCGAGAAAGAGGAGTGCGAGAGGGGTCTTCAGCAGCCACCTGGTGGTCGAGCTACCGGCGGTCGCGAGGATGTCCTCTCCCGTCCATCTGTGTGCCCCCATCTGCTCTTCAACCTTGAAGGCACCGAGGCGTCCATCAATGGGGCCATGAGCATGCTCTTCTTCACACCAGTGGGCCGGCCATCCCCCCCCTCACCCCCGAACACCCAGCCACCCCACTGTATCAACACCACCGTGTCAGGCGACACCGTCAAGCGCGACCCTTGTCCAGTCACTGTCGTCACTGAGGTGCCGGCGCAGCCATCCCTATCTCTCACTGACGTGGCCGAGGCCCGGATGGCGGAAAATGCCAATGGGACCGTCTTGGTTGGCGACGGGCTGCTGCAGTGCGAGATCGACTGGACGTGTCTGCGTGTGGGCGTCAACCCCGCCATATTTGGGTGGGTCAATGTGACCCTGGCTCTGACGCGAGGAGAGGGCGAGAAAGCGCCTGTTGTGTGGCGAGGGATGAGTCGTGTGCTGCTGGTGGATGTAGAGGACGTTGTGACGGTCGTGGCGCACTCGGGGGGGCGCTGCTGGATACTCGACAGGTACGTGCGTCGGACTGCGTGTCTGTTTGTCATTCATTCATTCATGTCATCCTGTGGTCTGTGTGTGCAGGATGGCTCGATCTATCCGCCTGCTGTATCCTCGTATGCCAATCGTAGTCACATGCGAGAGGGAAGACCAGCAGGACCAGGCAGATGGTCCTGACGGTGGTCTGATAACGAAGTCGCCGCACGGCAGCATCCCCAACATGACGGTGCTATCAGTGCCCTTCGACTACGGTCTCGCGCGCGCCAAGAACCTCCTGGTCAGCCTCATCACCACCGAGTTCACCCTGGTGCTCGACGACGACTTTGTGACGTCACCCCACACATGTGTCGAGTGCATGCTTGAAAAGATGACCAACCAGCTGCACCTTGGACACCCATTCGACATCGTACGCGTCCTCGCCATGCAAACCAACACGACAAAACACGCGTTCGTGTGTGCGTGTTGTGTGCAGGTTGGTTTCCCCATCCGTGAGGACGAGGAAGATTTCGGTGCGTTCCGCGGTGTGCTCAAGGTGGGCCAGGGCGCGGTGTACATGGAGGCGGGTGCCTGGGCGTCATACGCGGACGGCTGCCAGCGGATTGACCTGGTGCCAATGGTGTTCCTCGCTCGCACGCTGCGGCTGCGTGAGGTGCCGCTGCAGGAGGACCTCAAGCTTGGCGAACACGAGAAGCTCTTCTACATGGCCAAACGCAAGGGCCTGCAGGTGGGGAATATAGCCACTGGCGGATGCGCGTTGGCTGGAAGCTGGTGTGTTTGTGTGTGTGTGTGTGTGTTGGTGTTGATGGATGGTGTTCAGGTGGGTGTGTGTTTCGACTCTTCCTTAATGCACCTTCGCCTCAGTCCCGATGAGATTCCTGCAAGCTACGCCAGCCGGAGGAAACGATCCGGAAAGTATATGAGGTCAGTCTGAATGACCATGGCGATAATGCGACGCCCTCACCCCCCTCACCCTCACTAAATGGATGTGATTGATTTCGTCTCCAGAGACGCCTTTACCGAGTTCTCCGTCACCCGTCTAGCCCACTTCATGCGGCAGTACGCCCCCTCCTCCTCGCCAATCGACCACGCCATGCTCGCATCCGACGCCATCCCACCATGGACAGTCGACAACCACCACTGCCGCCCGGCATTCTCATTGCCGCCCCCACACGGCTTCTCCCTGCTGCTGCTCGTCATCGTCATGACCACACCAGACAGGCGCGGACGTGACGCCAGGGACGCGCTGAGACGGCGAGGCTCGTGGTTGCGAGCCCTGGCTGTGCCGGACAACGGCATCTTCGCGTACTTTGCGATTCCGGCGCCTTCCGGCAGTCACCGTGACGGCCTGTGTGAGGGTTGGCGTGAGGTGGTTGGCGAGTATGAGGAGCATGGCGACATGGTGTGGGTGACGCTGCCGCCGACGATGGCCGAGCCCAGCCATCTGGACAGGGTGCCTCCCGAAGAGATGAGGCGGGCGAACATGGCTTCACGGGACGACCCAGACCAGTGCAAGCTGTTCCTGAACGAGCCGGTGATGAGGGGGCCACTGCATGGCATGGCGACCAACTGCACCTGCACCAACGAGACACGATGGACGTCTCAGCATTATCTGTCTGTTTTGGAGAGCTTCCGGGTGATCGACAGCAACTGGGTGATGGTGGTGCGGGACGACGTGCTTGTGGATCTGAAGCTCTTCACCGACATGATGGGCGACAAGGCCATGCCCTACTGGACCGTCGTCGCGCCCCCTGCCGACGGCGCACCGACCCCTCCCGCTGCTCCTGCTTCGTTGAAGCCCATTGGCGTGAGGGTTGACGTGTCGATGGTGATATATCGGCGAGAGCTGTACCTGCTGCTGACGAGCCGGCCGTTGGTGGACTCGCTGAGGCATGATGATGGCAGTTTGGAGGGGTCGGTCCGGTGGCTGGACGCACTGAATGTGTATTGGACGCCGCTGCCGTCGTTTCATGTCGGATGACTGATAGATTGTGATGCACGTGATGGTGTGTACAGTGAGTGCTTCCTGTGTGTGCATAGATAGGTGGGTTGTGCATAGGTAGACAGACTACATGTGAAACCCTCTCGTTTGTACATCCATTCATCCATCCATTGGTTCATTGGCTCAGTCGATTGCTGTCGTCCTTTGCCTATCCACGCCTCCCATCCCAACTCCCTCCCTGTCCAACATGCACGCAGAAAGACACGGCGCACACACTGCCATGCACATGGATGGACACACAGAGACACGTACAACCACACGAACCACACTGCCAGGTCAGCGGTAGAGCCGCTTATCGGGCCACAATCTGAATGCATTCATTGTGTTCACCAACATGGATCGATAAATACATCCCCCCTGCGCGGATTGAAAGCTCCCAGTGCACTGCCAGCCAGCTTTGAGTCACATTACAGACACGCACACACAATGGCAACAACCAACATAGAAATCTCAACCACCCCATTTAGATGCAGCACCCTTCGCTCTCTCGTATATGCTCACGCACATGCATAGACACACAAACGCATGGACGAATTCTCTCCTCTCTTGTCTGAGAGCCCCACATGCACTCACTCACTGCACGCACACACATGGTTCATGCCGTGTGGTAAGCCAAGGAACTTCCTCACCCCAACAATATAATGCGATGGTAGTGACCCGACGCATACACGCACAATACTCTGTGTGTGTGTGTGTGTGTGAATATATAGGTTGTGCATAGGTAGACTACATGTGGGCCTCTCTCGTTTGTGCATCAATCCATCCATCCATTCAGGGGTTGAGTCGATTGCTGTCGTCCTTTCCCTCACCCATCCCTCACTCATACTGCGTTCATTCATGCGCTCAGATAGGATAGGCGCGTGGTGCTCACTGCCACGCACATGGATGATAAACACATCCCCCCTCCTCTTTCTTCGCATTATTGTGATACATATATCCCCTTCGAAGCGTGCATCCGGATTGAAAGCCCCCAGTGCACCGACCGTCACACACGACACGCAACAGCATCTCACCCACCACACAACACCGCTCCCCACCACCAGGTTTAGAACAGCCCAGTGGTTGGCTGATGCCAGCAGATGCAGCACCGCTCTCTCGTAGACGCTTACCCACACGTACACACATACATAAACGCATGGACGAATTCTCTCCTCTCCTCTCTTGTCTGAGAGCCCCACATGCACTCGCTGCACGCACACACATGGTGGGGTTGAGCTAAGAAACTTCCCCACCCCAACAATACAATGTGATGGTGGTGACCCAACACGTACACCCACATAAGACAGATACACGGAGGGTGATCGAGAAGAGCAGCGAGCAACGGAGACAGACACACAGGCATGGACATCATGTACGTGCTGGGAAAAAAGCCAGATTTGCTCTCTTAGATACGATCCCAGGCAGGGCCAATAAAATCTCACTCTCAACCCCATTGGTCGGTCAATCCTCTCATGTGTGTCGTGCTATCATATATGCGCAAAAACGGGCGCCGAACACACAAGCCCCCGACATACAAGCGAAGCTCATACAAGCTCACAGCACCATCCCTCCGTGAATAGCTATGCTCACGCTTTGCCTTTCCCGAAAGAGCGGTGCAGCACGCACGCCAAGTACCAAACAAATCAGCCCTTCCTGGATGGATGGATTAGCCAAACAGCACACAGCTCATGAAGCGCACGCGCACATGTGTAGACGACGCACACGGGCCCGAAATACAACCAGAGGGGAGCGACATGTGTGTGTCTACCGGTGTACGTAATGGTAGAGGGGTGAGTCAGAGCAGCAGCGAGCAAACGGAGACAGACAGACAGACAGGCAGACAGGCAGACAGGCAGACAGGCAGACAGGCAGACAGGCAGACAGGCAGACAGGCACACGCACGCAGATGCGTGCGGACACACGGAAGACACTCGGTGGACAACAAACCGCAGAGGGACAATCAAAACGAAACACTCAGTGTACTACCACACACTCACCCACACGGAGGCGTTGCACGCCAGTAGAAAAACACACACCACACGCACAAGCCGGGCAGCCACAAAACCGACACCCACCACACGGCCCGCCCCCCTCTGCCCAGCAAGCAGCACGTGCAGAAGCAGGCCAGCTTTGGGGGGGCATTTCATGCATTATATTCTGCTGAGGTCGCGCCCGAACATTCTGCTCTTCATCCAGTCGAAGAGGACCAACACCCGGTTGCGCAGGCTCACCTGCTTGACGAAGTACACCGAGCGCCACAGGTAGAAGCCGGCCTGGCCTGACGCCTTGATCAGGTCCAAATCGTTCGCCTTAACACACACATACACACACACACAGAGAGAGAGAGAGAGAGGGAGAGAGATGTGGGTAGTGGATGTGCTCTCTCTGGCTGGCCGCGTCCGTATCGTCACTCACCCACCTGTATGTGTGCGAGTCCCTTGTCGTTGCCCAGATAGGCCAGCATGCCGTAGTTGAAGAACCTGAAGGGGTCGGCCTCGCGCTTGCCCAGGGTGCGCAAAAGGTTGAAGGTCTTCCTCACGCCTCCTCCGTTGTCGCCATTGTCGCCATTGTTGTCGTCGGTCTGCACGGGTGGCTGGTTGTCGGGCGTGCTCATGTCGTACCCTCTGTTCAGCATGCGCGCCAGGTAATGACCTTGCTGTGACGCCACCTGCAACCGCAACACAGAGGCGATTGGTTTGTGTGAGTGAGGGTTGGCCTTTGATCTCTCCCACCCACGCAGCCGCCAACGCACCTGTGCTGTTTGTGGCAGGATTGGTTCCATCTTGGTGCAGTCGCCCATGGCGAGGATGCTGCCGTTGGTGCCGTAGACGCGAAGCCACGGGTCGATCGTCAGCTTCTTGGAACGGGACGTCCTGAGTGGATGACGGGAGAGAGCACATTAGATACCATGCCGTGTGTGACCTGGTGGCTCACATTTCCGCCTGCACAGGCACTTTCTCGATCAGGCGCCTGATGGAAGAGGGCCAGAACAGTGCAGTGAGTATCTGTCCATCCATCAGGTGTACATGTTCCCTCCCGCCCCGCCCACTCGGTGATGTTCCTGGGCCCCGTGCCAGCCGTCCAGACGGCCAGACCATACGGCAGCTCCGTCCCATTCTGAATCAACGACGCCAGTCAGGCAGGCAGGCAGGCAGGAGTGGGAAGATGTATTGCTGGGTTTGGTGTGCTATACTTCACGTACGTTGAGTGTCATCGAGTAGGGGCCCACTGCGTTGACTCTCGTCTCCAACGCCACCTCCACCCCGGCATTCTGCACACAATGCATCCATCCATGCGCACAGGCAGGCAATTCAGGCGTGTGTGTGTAGGCTGCGTGTGGTCTTCCTTATCGGGTTGCTCACGGTGATGACGTTAAGGCCGACGGACCGCAGGGACTCCTCGAAGACGGGCAGGATGGTTGGACCCGATTGAATCATCACCACACGCGCCAACGACTTGAGCCTGCAACACATACAATGCACACACAGAACGGACGGACGTGTGTCAGGTACACACACGCATGGGTGGAGGAGGGGAGCTGGCTGACTTTGGGTAAAGTGTCTTGAATTCGGTCGAGAGCAGGTCATACAACTCGCCACAAAACTCCACACCAGTGGGCTGAAGATGCAGACAGACAGACAGACAGACAGACAGCACAATGGTCAGCGTCGTCGGTGTGAATGCTATGCTTCCATGAGTGCCTTTGCGCGTACCCCGCCTTCACACACGACAAATGTCAGGATGCGCCGCTTCTCCTCTTCTGTCACCTCAGGGATGTTCGCACTAACCAAAAACCACCAGCAACGATGGGAAATGTGCACGTCTTGGTCCTTCTCTGTCCCACCGACCGTTCGAATCTGTCCTGCACCGCACTTCTGAGCCTGCGGGCGTCGTCCACCTCCTTGAGGAAGTAGCAGTTCTCATACACGCCCTTGACGCCGAACGATGACGACTTGACGCCCGGCGAGAAGACCAGCATGTCGTACGGCACGTTCAGGTCAATCTTGCTGCCTGGGAGATGCATGGTAGACGCTTCAGGAGCGTCCTGGGTTTGTGGGTGGGTGTGAGAGTTGGTGCCTGACCGTCATTTGTCTGCATTCTGGTCCTCATACGGATGGTCCTGTTCTCAGGGAAGATATCCGTGGCCTCACCTGACCAGTGACCATACCACATGCAGCAGAGCAGCACACGCGTGCGCTAGCAATCGGTGTATGCATGTCACTGACCCTCAAAATAACTGGCGTATGGGTTTGCTTTTCTCATCGGTTCAGTTATGGATCGATACTCTACTGTGCCCACACTCGCAGCGGCCAACAGCGGGGTGAAAAGGAAGTAGTTGCGAGGCGATATGATGACAACATCAAACCTGACACACACGCATAGACACACACGTGTGGCGGCCGGCAGGCAGGCGTGTTATGGGTCGGTCTCACTTGTCAGTGTCGATTGACTTGATGAATGCGTGTGAGGACCATCCGGACCCAATCACCACTATTCGGTGCTTGCGCGGCCCCTTCACATCACCCAACTCATCCTCTGACCTGAACAAGGATTCCGAGCAGGAAGGAAGCAAGATGTGTGAGCCGTCTGCATGGCTGCTTTCTGACCTAAGCTGTCTGCTCCAGAAGAGCGACGCGTCTTCAACCGTGTCCAGCACTGCAACGAGCACGCACACACACACACACACACACAGAGAGAGAGAGAGAGAGAGTCACTGCGCAGCCAGTCACGAGCAGATGACAAAAACAACTTACATGAGGTGCCCACTTCGTCCACCAATGCCATCACGCTCTCCTGCATTCACAAGCAGCCATCAGCTTTAGCTGTGGGCAGGCGCAACACCTGCCCACCTGCCTCCTTCTGTTGTCCTCGGTTGTGTCCAGGCCCCTCCCTCGCTCATCAGGGATTCGTATCTTGGTCTTTTCCGGCCGGGTCTTGATCTCCTGCATGTGCATTGGTGCTGTGGCCCTGTGCGAGAAGATGCGCCTGTAGCAGCCGGCGGGTGACGAGCGCTGAGTGACGTGGTGAGTGATGAATGAGGGACTCCTGGAGACTGCATCTGAGCTGCTGACGATGCAGGCGAGTCCTGCCAAGATCGATGCTGTCTGCGTCGTCGGCCACCACATCCCTGCTGCTTTGGCCTTGGGCAGCCTTGGTAAGCGTGTCCCAAAATCAGCCGCGCAGAACCGTCTGTAAACGCTCAGGTATACGATGGATTCACAACATGCGGAACGACATGATCTGGATCTCCATCACTACAGAAGCGCCTCCGCAGCATAACGGCATCGGTGTTTGCATGCATCGTTGGGCTGGGGGCCAAGCTCGCGGTGGAGACTGGAGGCAGCATTGCAGCAACAGCAGCAGTAGTGCCATCAACCATGCCTTTGACGCCGGTGACAAGACCAACAGCCATCACGATTCGATGAGGGGAGGAGGAGCACACGTTCGAGATGAAGATGCGGGCCGAGAAGGGCGGGCTCTCAAAAGTCTACCAAGGCGTCTGTGCAGGGGAGGAGGCGGCTTTCAAAACGGTTACGACTGAAGGCAAGGGGGCCTCGACTGACATCGCCTGCCTCATCAGCGAGCGCCAGCGGCTGGAAGATCTCGCGAAGCTGGCGGGCGGCGGCGCGAACATCCGGGAGAGGGGCTTCCTGCCGCTGTACCACGCCAGCACCAACACACAGCAGCCTGCAACCCTTGTCGAGGGAGAGGGAGACGAGGCGACCAAGAGGCCGATCATCGTCCTGGTCACACCCTGGGTGTCCAGCGGCGATGATTCAGGCAAGTACGAGTTCATCGAGATAATGGCCGCCATATCAAAATACAACTTCCGCAAGATCTCGCAGAAGCACACGGCACCCCTGTCGGCCCCAGCAGACGCCCAGGCCAAAGAGGAGGTGCTGATTGGCATTCGAGCTATCTGTCTATTCATTCACGCCCACATCACCGCCTCCAACGCCCTCCTCTACGCCCTGGACAACATGGCGAGTGATGTGTTCCTCAAGTGGAGTGCATTGCTCGACAGGGGTGTTTTTCTGTCATGCTGCCCGTGGCCATCGACCAGCCTTCCCCACCACCCACCCTTTTTCGGTCGCTGCCCTGGGATGGTGATGATAGATCCCGCCAATGCACTGCGAGCAGAAGAGCCACCTAAGGGAGAAGGGGGTTGAGGCTTTGCAAGAGTACCCACTGACCATGGGGAGCAGGAGAAGCGGCTGCAGGTCGTCGGCCTGACGCCACACGCCGCACCTCCTGAGACCGCAGTGCTGAGATGGGTGGCCATCTGCGGGGCCACCGAGACACGAGGGGCAGAGAAGGAGGAGGTCAGGTCAATGGTGAACGAGATGAAGACGGCCATGAAGAAACGTGGCACGATGACTGAGGAGGGAGAGGCCGTTTTCATCAGCCGCAAGGCCGTCAGCTGGGGAGTCGGCCAGATCCTCCGCCACTTTGTCTCTGGGGATTCGCACCCCATGGCGAGCATGGTCATCCACCAGCTGGACGCGGCTCTCAAGCAGGCAAGAAGGGAAGGGAGGCCGGCCGAGGAGGCGCAGGAGCTGGAGAAGAAAATGAAGCGCGAGAAGCTCATTTGCGATCTCAAGGACTGCCTCGAGTGGGAGAGCTTCTTGCCGAAGCTCTTCGACAACGGGCTTGGCAGGAGCTTTCGCAAGAGCGTCAAGCTGCTGCACGAAAGAGGGGAGACGGAGATGGAGTGGTCGAGAGAAATCGCCGAAGACATCAGCCGGCTGGCCTATGCAGCCCTCCAGGAAGATCCAGAGAAACGCCCGGGGCTAGAAGCAATTTTGAGGACCATACTGGAGGTCGAGCGGAGGCTGAGCGATGAGGCCAAGCAGCCGACGGGCAGCAGTGAGAGTGGCATTAGCGGCAGAGTGCCATCAAGCGGCATTGGCCAGACGGGATCGTTGCCCTCGTGTCTCGAGATGCCCTCGTGCGCTTCCAAGCCCCCTCCCCCGGTCACAGAGATGATGCGTGAGGCCATGATGGCTGCCGAGAGTGATGAGGTCACTCTGCAACAGCAGCAGCAGCAGCAGCAGCAGCAATACCAGCAAGAAGCAGCTGCCAACAACGCAAGGGCCAGGTGGAATATTGGGTGTTTCCTTAAGCGACTGTGGTCGAGGAGGGTCCAGCCCGCTGCTGAGTACAGCGACGTGGCGGATGAGGAGAATTGGTCGTTAGTTGAGACACAGGAGGCGGAGGACTGGATGGAGCATGAGCGGCGAAGAGAAGCGGAGGAGTGGCAGTGGGTGGTGTTTGAGGCGGCCATGGAGGGTGGGGTCTGAGGCTGGCTCCCTTCTTGCCCTTGACAACCTGCGGTCTGCATGATGTCGGTCTGTGTGTTGCCTGTCTGTGTGTCCGGCCGCCTAGCTGTTTGCCTGCATGGTGGCTCGCCTGCCTGACGTACACTTTCAGTGTTCCTCGCACACGTTCGTGCCTTTTTCCTCTCATTCGAGGGTGTACGTGTGGGGTTGTTCCTTCCTCTCTGCCTTGGCATACTGCACTCATGATTCATTCATCTCCATGTCTGCAGTACATTTGACACGCACATTCATGCGTCGCTGCCTTCTTGTTCACACACGCATCGACCTTGTTTGCTCGCCTCTTTGCTCACGTCGGTCGTCACGCGGTTATCATTCATGTAAGGAAGGCGACTTGCTCAGTCGGTGGGTCAGTGGATCAGGAGACCTCCCTCTTCGCTTCGTTCCTCTTTTTGCTGCTGGCACTCATACTGTCTCTTTCCTTGATTCATACTTACCTTCCTTCTTACGGGTTCCTCTCGAATCAATGGTGAGTATGCACTGAAGGCAAAGTGTGTGTGTACCTGCCATGAATTGTGTGTGCGCCTCTGTGTGTGTGTGTGTGTGTCTCTGCAGGCTCAGATGATACGAGCAACAGGGGCGGACATCATAGAGGAGACATGTCGAGGGGCTGACATATACGTGGATATTGGCATGACATTGCATCTCATCATCCATTTCAGATGACACAACGGGGGAGATCATTGCGATCGGTAATCAATGTCTTTTGCAAAAGATGTGTGCGTCTATTCGTTTGTGCAATCTGTGCGTCGTCTGTTTATTTCAGATTGGTCATTGGTACCCTATCGTGAGTGCATCGAAAGACAATCAGAGCATCCTCTGCGGAACGCCAAGCGGCGTCAATCGCACAGATGTCACTGACCTGGGAACCGGCGTTGGGAAGGTACGGACGGCAGCCAATGTGTTGTGACAGGACCACAAGCATTTGCGCGATGTTCGCTGTGTGCCTGTCTGTCAGCTTCCCACCGGACAAGCCCATCTGTGCACGCACGAGCGAGTCCCGCTTCTTCTACTGCATCAAAGAAGACGTCGGTCTTTTCACGGGGCCGATTGTCGCGGATAGAGACGAGGTTGGATTTGTTAAGGGTGTCCTCAGCGGCCAGCCATCGTCCCTCTGCTTCCCGCCCGTGTTGGATCCGTGCTTCAATGCCGTCAATCGCTTCGCTGTGCCCTTCGACTGTGCCGGCAGCCTGCCTGACGTCGAGAGAAGAGAAGACATGGGGCCTGACAAGTCGAGTGACCCCCCTCCAGTGCCACAAAATGCGACGTTCGCTCAGTTGGTGCATACCGATGCCTATCCGCCAACCATCAACCACACGGGCTCGAATGTGTCGAGCTGCATGAGGATTCAGGGCAAGAAGGACGACAGCAGTGGGCTCGACGACCTCTTTCTGGACCTCTCATGCGACACGACAGAGGGCGTCAGCAGCACACTCCAGTTTACCTGCCTCGCCAACACCAGCCTCTGCTTCCGTCGGGAGGAGCACGAGCGGCTGCCTGCAATTGCTACCATCCAAGGCGTCATGGGCGTGGAGAAGGCCAGCAATCCGGCACGAGGGAATCGAGGCGCAGATTGAGGTGACCTTGACGGGCTCAGCAATTCGAGTACGATCAGCCTCAGCAAACTCTGATCTTCGGCAACGAGACACAGGACGACCTCGTCAGTGCAACGGTGCTTCACTTCGTCAGTCAAGCACGTGACTTCAGTCTACGTCTCTTGACGTTTCCTGACGACGCGCGAGAGGGCTGTGGTGTCCTGCACAATCAGCGCGCGTTCACAGTGACTATTGCGCTAGCTGTCTCGGGCTATGGGAGGGACGTGACGACTGGGCAAAACAACCGAAAGGTAGGTACGTGTATAGGTTGACAAATATTGTGTGTATATAAGTGTACAAATATTTGTGTGTGTATACGTGGGGTTCTTTCCTCAGAAGAGACCACAGGAGGCCAGTCAGTTTGCCATCGACAATCGAGAGGCGTTTCGGAATTGCAGTGGGATCTGCCGTGAGGCTTCCCTGCTGGCCGTGCTGGCATCATCCGGATCTAAGACCGATTTGCTTCTGGGCAAAGACCTTGCCCGTGAGCTGCTTGATGAAGTCCTTCCGACAGTCTATTTTCCTATCTACCAGCCGGGGCCCCTGTCACCAGACATATCATTTGGCAGCAGCCTGACTGTCGACAAGTTCGTTGTCGAGCAGGATCGACTCGATGTGTCGTGCCTTACTGGGAAATTCGAGTGCCGGCTGTCTTCTGCACCGACGGCACTGATCAATTGAAGCGCTCTTTCGGTCTATTGAGCTCTTCAATATGGAGACTGGCGTGTCGCTTGATCTCATTCTGAAGGGCCAACTCGGTACCCATCCTCACTGAAGGTTTGTCAGGCGCTTTAGTCAACCTGATTGTCTGTCGTTTGTCAGGCCCTTTGATCGATGGAAGACAAGGTACATGCATCGAGCACTGTCGTGAAGTGCTCGATACTCTCTCTTATTGCTATGGATGTCACGGAACAAGAAGAGCTTTGTTGTCAATTCTTGCTTGACCACGCGCCCATGAGATACGTGCATGTCTCACGCGGATGGCGCAGGACGTATTTCGAGCGAATTGTTCTGTCTCTCTGGCGACAAGCCTTTGGTATGCCTGATAGATGCTGCGTCTCTCGCTTCTTTCCTCGCTTCCTGTCCTCCTTTGCTACTTTCTTTGCTGATCCCTTCTTCTCTTCACCAGACGGGAAGCAATCACAAGGCGTGATGGTGCTCTCTTTGACTTGCTGTTCCGATGAGTGAAAGCGTGCGAGCTGCTCTGTTTTTTCCGATGCTTTGGGTGCCCCTCCTTGGCCACTTTTCCGGTTGGTGGTAATGCGCTGTGTATGTGGTTGGCGAGGCGTGTGTATGTGTGTGTGTCTGTGTTCTTTCGTGATCCTCCTTCACGCGATGTGCATGTCTATGGATGCTGCGTCTCTCGCTTCTTTGCTCGCTTCCTGTCATCTTCCCATGTGTCTATCTATGCATGATGAATGAATGCGGCAAGCAGAGAGCCGCTGCTGTTCTGTCAGTGTGTCGGTCACGCACACACGCCATGCTTGTATGATGCATGTCTCGCCGATGCATACATTCATGAACCAGACATGCATACGTACCTCGTTCCACCTCTGTCCGTCCATGAGTGAGGTCACTCAGCTCATGCACAGCCATATATACAATAAAGAAGAAGCTGATGAATATCTAGACATCAATCAGGCTGCAGCACTTGCACGCACAGGGAGCATCCTCTCTCTCTCTCTTCCTTTGCACACGTCCCCATCCACGTATGGCTCACATGAAGACCATCCTAATGCAGACACGACTTAAACGCACGTCCAGGCATGCACCCTTTCTGGCTGTCTCTCCTCCTCTCTTCCCAGGTAGGTTGATGTCACTATCGATCGACGCCCGACTCACTCGTGCAAAAACGAATAACACATGCAGGAACGAAAAACACAGGCAGGCAGGCAGGCAGGCACCTCACACACAACCACTCAAACACACAAATACCCTGTCTGCTCGACCACACAGCACTCCCCTCACCCCACCACATCACACCACACACCACACACCATTCCCCCTTCCCCTCCGTCTGCCGGCTCACTCGACGTCCTGTGGGTCGCGGCGCACCGTGTCACCCCAGTCCTGCTTGTCAGAGTCTGCGTCACTGCCCTCCTTCTTGTAGCCGTTGGCCACAGGCGCACTCAGGCTCGCCAGCATCGGGTCCATGGTGGACGTCTTGAGGACCACCGTCAGGTCGCGGTTGCCGGTGATGGTGTAGGTGTAGCTGAGGACGCCGCCTGTGGGTGTGATGGTGGTGCCTCCCTCCTCCATGGCCGCATAGCCGACGGCCGTCACAGTGATGGTGGTGGGGTGCGTGGACGGACCCTTGGTGTGCGGGAACACCTTGCCCTCCGTGGCCACGTGCACAGTGGTCGACCCGTCGGCATGCGGCACCACCAAACTGAACGGGCAGAGGCGTCACAGACAACACACACACACACACAATGCATGATGTGCCGAGCACGATGTGTGAACTTGTGTCGCTCCCCTGCTTACTCGCTTTTGTGTGTGATGTCGAACCTCCCCACCAGCATGAGGTCGCCGCTCTGGCCGACCTCGAGCCCGTCCGCCACGACATTGTTGATGACCTGCTGGTCGATGGTGACAGGGCCGTTCTGTGTCACGCCGAAGTTGCGTTCGGTGAGGGCCGTCTCGACGCCTTTCTTGCCGCCAGCGTGCAGTGCCAGAGTGCCGCTCAACGGCGGGACGTCCATGTCGGTAACCGACACGTCCGACAGAGGGCCCTCGGTGTCACGCGTGATGGCCAAGGTGGTCTGCTGCGTCACGGCGGCGCGCGTGCCGTCGGCGGCCTTCATGATGCTGAAGTTCGTGCTCTTGTTCTTCAACATCGTGCACTTGAAGGCCGTGTCGAGTCCATGCACTGACGCTGTGATGCGAAGATCTGAGCGCGCGGAACGGGAGAGGGTGCGAGAGGGGTGGCGCACTACGTGGACGAGCCGACAGCCGCGGACGATGAGTGAAACCTGCGAGCTTTTCTGTAGCTGATTCCGTTGCGGTTCTGCTCGACACATCAAGACAAGTCAAGACGTCATTTGCCGTCCCGTTGCGTGTGCTGCAGCAGATCTCGAGGTGGCTCTTCCGATCTCAAG